GTGTGCACATGTGGCTCGCACACTTTTTTGCTGGGCGTGGGACCGACAGACCCGCGTTTCGTCGCCGACGTGCAGGGGTTGGCGAGACGCTCCCTCCCATCTGCAGGGAATTCCGGTGGCGGCGACGGACCCGCGTCGGCGAGCAGGAGAGGCAGCACCGCGAGGATGGCGAGCCACGCCACTCCCATCTCCTGCAGCGTCGCCGTCATGTCTCCGTTGCTCGCCGCGCGCCACGCGCCGTAAGTTGCGGTGGCGAGGGCGAGGAAGAGCGCCTGCGCACCGCCGCGACGGGCGAGTGAGGCCGCCGCGTGAAGGCAACGCACCGCGCGCGGCGGGGGGGAGGGGGTTGCGGGCAGTGGAGGCGGTGGAGGCGGTGGAGGCGGTGGAGGCGGTGGAGGCGGTGGAGGCGGTGGCGGCGGTGGAGGCGGTGGAGGCGGTGGCGGCGGTGGCGGCGGTGGAGGCGGTGGCGGCGGCGAGGGCGTGGGAGAGATGGGGAGAGATGGGGAGAGATGGGGAGAGATGGGGCTGCGTGCCACTGCGAGGGCGTGGTACGCGCGCGAGAGGTTGGAGCGCGAGGCGTCGAGTTGAGACCGGATCTTGCCGAGCTCGAGCTGGGTCGCCTGGCGGGGGCGACACACGTCGGCTGAAGCAAGGGGGGGCGCCACGTCCGTGACATGTCCGAGGCATGTCCACGGGCAAGCTGGCGCATCTCGGGACGGTGTCGGGACGAGTGTCTGGGCCGCGGTCTGTCGGCCACCTGCGAGGAGCGCTTCAGCTGCCTCTGCTCCGACTCGGCGAGCGCGGCAACCTGTGGCGGCGAGGGTGAGGGTGGCAAGGGAGGCGGCCGTGATTGCGGCGGCGAGCGTGGACGAGGCGGGCCGGGGTGGCGGTCGGCTGGGTTGGGGTTGGGGTGGGGGTGGGTGGGGGTGGGGGGTGGGGGCCGCTAGGGAAGCTGCAACCTCGTCGCACACGGCGTAGGAGGCGCTCTCTCTCCTCTCCTCTCCTCTCCTCTCCTCTCCTCTTCACTTCTCTTCCCTTCCCGCGCCTCGTCGCACTCAGCGTACGACTGGTTGAGCCAGGCGCGGTGCGGCGCTGTCACGAGCCAGTGCAGCTCTGGCGCCGTCACGTCCTCGATGTGCTGCCTCGCCTGCAGAAGGGGATGCAAGATGACGATGTGCTGCCTCGCCTGCTCCTCGAGGCGCTCCACCGCGTCCTCCTCACCAACGAAGCACTCCAGGCGCCCACCCATCCCTCGGGCCGCTGCCTCCTCTTTTCTCTGCGCCCCCTCCTCGCGGCTGCATCGCGCCTCTCTCGGCTCTCCCTCGGCTTCGGCTATATCTCGGCTACATCTCGGCTATATCTCGGCTACACCTCGGCTACATCTCGGCTCTCTCTCGGCTGCGGCTCGCCTTCTCCTCCAGCAACGCGCCCTCCTCGCGGCTGTACTCGAGCCGCCCCTCCGCCATCCGCTCCGCCATCTCGCGCGCTCCAAGCACCGCCTCCCGCAGCACCGCGCGCTCGCGCGCGAGGGTGGCGGCGATCGCCTGTTCACGCACGCAGCTGTGAAGACACGCCGACGGAAAGGGCCCGAGGGGGGGGGGGGGGCGCGGCCACTCGCCTCCGCGACACCGCGCTCCTCCGCCCCCCGCCTCCCCTCGCCCCCGCCGCCGCCAGCCTCGGCCGCAGCCTCGGCCGCCGCCGCACCGCCCAAGCCGCGCGCCCCCTCCCCGCACTCTGCCGCCGCGTGCCCCGAGGAGCGGGCGATCAGCGCGGCGCGCTCCGCAAGCTCCGCCTCGTGTGCTGCCTCCGCGGCCGCCTGCAGCAAGGGTGTGACCTCCCCACGTCTCCCCACGTCTCCCCATATCTCCCGCCTGAAGCAAGGCTCCGACTCGTGAAGCACGGCTCCGGCTCGCCGACGACCGCCCTCGCCGCGTGTCGGGGCTGTGTCTCGGGGCTGTGTCTCGGCTCCGTCTCGGCTATGTGTCGGGGCTACATCTCGGCTACATCTCGGCTCCGTCTCGGCCTTCCCCTTCCGCGCCTCGCTCGCGGACGCCTCGGCGGTCGCGAGCGAGCGGCGCAGCGCGGCGAGCTGCTCGTCTCGCTTGCTGAGGTCTTGCTGCAGCTCCTTGTGCGCCTGGTTCAGTGAGCGAATGGATCAAGGACGGGTGCACCGCTTGGACGAGGCCCTGCTGCAGCTCCGTGTGCGCCTGTGGGGCGAGGGCCGGTGTGGGGCGGGGAGCGGGGGGGGGGGGCGGGGGGGGCGGGGGTTGTGTGTGGGGCGGGGGAGGGCGATGGAACGGGGGGCGCGCGCACCTCGCTCAGCTTGCGCGTGCGCTCCTCCTCGCGCCGCGCCGCCTCGCGCCGCGCCGCCCCAACCTCCTCCTCCTTTGCGCGCAGCGCCTTCTGGTGCGACGCGGCCGCCTTGGCGAGCTCGCGCTCCTGCGCGCGGGAGATATGGGGAGATTGGGAGATATGGGGAGATTGGGCGAGCTCGCGCTCCTGCGCGTGGGCGGCGGGCGCGCTCGGCGTCAGACGGGGAGGAAAGACCGGATCGCACAGGCAACCTCGACAGGCCCTCGCCCCCCCGGCCTTGCCCGGAGAGGCCCCCGGTGCGGCGGCGGC